CCCCAAAACCCCAAAACCCCAAAACCCCAAAACCCCTAAAAGATGAAATAGGCTAAATTATTAATATGTCGATTATTTTTGCAATATTTTATTTATTTATGAAATGAAAACACTATTTATAATCATAGTTCAGCTGCTGCTTTTCCCCTTCGAATGCTTAACCTATAATATCCTCTTTTGTTGTTCAATTGAGCTTCATTAGATCAATTAATAAATAAGTTTAGCAGATTAGTTTAACCTACTCTCAGAAAATAAAGTAACTTTTGCAATCAAATAAGAGCTTATAAGCCAGATTTCCGAAGAAAGTCTGTTGAGATATAGTTTTGATTAGTTTTAGTTAAATGAAAACTCAACTTATGCAATGTTATAATTGGATATACCTTATTGGGTGAGCTAATTTAAATATATTCAACTTGATTCGATGATCTTAAAGAGTATTCTCACTTAGTAGAATTTTATAAAAGGTATTAAGGAAAGCCAGTATGATATAATCATTGTAGGATCATCAGTATATGAGTATGAACTCGCTCAAGTTTTTAAGATTCCTTATATACAGCTGATTGATAACCCTTTTAATTAGATGTAGATTCTAAATGAAGCGCTAGCTCCTAGAAATTCTTTAGCTTAAACATATTTTAGCTAATTCTATCCAGATTTTATTAGAGATTTTACTTTTTCAAGAAGATTTGTTAATCATGTTTCTATCATTTAATAGGAACTTTTTGTAAAGCCAGTAGTAGCCATAACTTTTACTTAAGGTCTATAAAAATATCTACCATTTTTTAGTTCTTAAAATATTCAGGATAAAGTTCTTATTGTTGGACCTAGCTTTATAGAAGAATTTAAAGTTTAAAGTAACTAGAGAGTTGGATTTGTGATCCCTTTGATAAAATAATTTAGCCCTTAACAGAAAACTGAAGCCAATTCTGAGGAATCTAAATACTAATTGATATACATAGGACCCAAAAATATCATGAGTAATGAGACTCTTCAAACAATTGTTAATTTTGGAATCGAAAGCGATTATAAGCTAAAGTATTTCATTTCAAACATAAATTTTTATTCATCTGAACTTATCAAGTCAATACTATAAACTGAAAGTCTTTTGAGTGAAGATCAGTTAGTAGATTTCTAATTTTAGAATATTATTGGAGTTGCAGAAAAGTCAAATATATTGCTAGCTATTCAAAATAGATTGCCAATGATTGGAGTAATCATTGATGCAACCTAAAGAACTCACTGCCAAATAATTCAAAACGAATTACACCTAGGTATTTGTATTAGTATAAACTCAAAAGATGATCTCTATTACGCTTTCTAATATTTGGAAAATCATAAATAAAGTATTGTCCTTAAACAGGACATGAATTACATATAGATGATATCATCTAGGAAAAATCAAGCATCTCTTTAGTATCATATTGACCAAGTTATTTTTGATCATCTTAATGATAGGTAAAATGATGTAGATGGATTTTTTAAGGCACATGACTATGACCTACTTTTGATACTTTCTATAGGAGGAACAATAGGTTTCATAATCTCTTATATAATAATATGCGATCTAATATACGTCTGCTTCTGCAATAAAAATGAAAATTATAGGCGAAACAGAGGATCCGCAACTAAGACTAAGAAAGACTGAATTTCGAATAATGAATGCATATTGTAGTCTTAAGCATTATTCTAGAGCTTAAAATTTTGTGATTATTCATTAGAATCAATTAGTTAAGTGTCTCAATTATTGATTAATTTTAAGTCTACACCTACTTATCATTAAATCAAACCATTTAACTTACCACTCCTGGGGTTTTGGGGTTTTGGGGTTTTGGGGTTTTGGGGTTTTGGGG